CAAGCCAACAACTAGTTATGCTAATAGCTAATATAGTCCACCTAATTAACTAATCTGAACCTTGTCTGAGCTAGCTAAAACCTGCAATCCAGCAAACACACTTCTATTTATTAGTCAAGCTAATCGTATAGTTTTTAGATATATAAATGAGACATTCATCTCAATTTAAGATGTAATTAAGAATTAGCATTATGAAACCTACCCTCTGCATAAAACAAAAACTCAGTAGTTCTTTTAGATTTCTAGCGGTGAAGGTACAAATAAGTTTAAACATGTTTAAATGGGACAGAAACTGAACTGTCTCCCTCCAATTAGCCAGTGATTCTCTATTGTACTCATTGATTGATCAATGGGAGCAGACTCAGGTGTTTTATCATTGGTTTATGACACTTTGATATGTCATTGACAAGATGGTTGCATATCAACAGTACTTTGCAGCACACAGGGTTTGATGAGGTTGCTGAATTTGTTTTCTTCTCGTTTTGGGTCTAGCTGCTGCTGGCAGCCAGAGCTTTTCCCAGTGTTTCAATGAAGCGATGCACATCCCTGAAGGAGTTGTAGAGCGGCACCGGAGCTATTCGCAGCACGCTGGGCTCTCTCATGTCACACTGCAACAGGAAAAAGGCTGTTCAGAAAAAAATATTTAACTTCAGATTTTAAAAATAAGAGGAATTTATCTGTGATGGCACAGTAAACAGCATTTTAATTTCATTTAAATACAGAAAGGTTTATGGAACCTTTCAAATAAAATAACCATGTTTATTAATGCAAAAAAACAATGATGTGAACAGTGACATGTACAAAATATTGAATAATTATGCTAAGTTTCACATAAGCATTACTTCAAATGTCTCAGAAATCTAAAAAACTCATTTACAATCTCTCAAGTCTATTTTTTATGAAAAATCAATCTACTCAGGAGCTAGGCGTGAAGAGGTACGATGCATGCTACGGCCATTGTAGATAGAAAAAAAGGAGTAAATTTCTGCCCACAAATTTAATTTCAGCCCACAAATTTAATTTCAGAAATTAAGCCCTAGGTGGAAATTCAACCTGTAAGACTGTTCCGGGATCACCTATCACCACGCCTTCACCCCAGCCAATCAGGACGCACCACCTCTCTACCTCGATCCAATCACCTGACAAGAGCTCCTTCAAAAGATGAATCCACCCGCTTCAGTTGTGCTTCAACCCACCTCCTCCCTGTTTCCACCACCAGCCTCCTAGACGCCTCCAGGTCCCCTCAAGACTCCTCTCTCCAAGCTCCGCTCCACCACCAGTGACCGGGCCCGGGGGAAGACCTATCTGAGCTTCGTTCGAGCCGATCATTCAAGCTCGCTGCGATTCTCAGCCCGCATGTCTTCCGCCGGTGTCCGAGCGCCAAATTCTCGGTTCAATAAAATTGTCTAACTGCTGTTTCTCTCTCCGTGTGTGAGTCTCTACAGATTGAAATGTTCTAGAAAAATGCTAGGCAATTTCCAACAGAAAAAAATGAAATAAACCTCACAAATTTTCTTGGAAAAAACCCCAAAAGACAATAAAATTTGATTTTTTTGGAGTTTGAAAAGTCAAAACACTTGCTAGAAAAAACTAATATTTTGAGATTAATCTGAGAAACTTTCTAGATGAACTTACTTATAACCTTTTTTGGTCTACAAAGGCCCTAATACACTGTTGTAAGAGTAGCAATAGTTCATAACATTGTTCAAATTAGGGCTGGGCGATATACCGAGTATACTCTGTGTACTGTGATAATTTCAATTGACAATAGTTAAAGTGGCTATATCGCAACTACCAAGTATTAATTGCTTATCTGAGAGCAGGAACCCCTACTGTATGAAACTGAGATAGGAATAATAGAAAGATGGCCACTCTGAGGTAAAACCAAGCAAATAGCTTCCAGG